TAGTGTGTCACACTGTCTCTCTGACTGCCTGTGATGCGCCTCTCACCTCCTGATGACCGAAAACTGAAGTGCACGAGTTTTGGGTTCGTCTCTGAATCATTCACTTGTCAAAGAATTATTGTTGTTCTTGCTGTTAGTCGTATTATTATTATTGTTTTTGTTGTTGTTTATGTTAGTGGTGGTAGCAGTAGTAGTATTGTTGCTGTAGGTAATGGTGGTGCTGATGGTCGTGCATTATACAGAGTGCACAGTGCACACCGCCCAGTCAGTGTGTGCACAGTGCACACCGCCCTGTACCTCTCAGCCTTCAAGTGGCGTGTAATGATGCTGGTGAAGGGCTCTTGATCCGGGGTGATTATCAAGGTTGATATCCTCGGATCAACTTTGATTATCACCCAATTCCCCAAGACGCTATATGACCCCAGCAGACTTAGCGCTTTCCGGCGAATATAAAAAAAAATCAACCTTGAATCCAGCCCCGTCTTACGCAGACGAACTCTTGCCTACTCGAAATGACGTGGCCCATGAGGATTTAGAGCTTTCTTGCAAACAGTAACTCCAGCACTGCTGGAAGGGAAACCTCCGAGGTTGCCGTAGCTGATAAACCTTAAGTAGGATGCTGGACCACATCCTAGCTGACTTAGTGAAGTCTCCCCCCCCCCCAGCTCAGCCTGGGCTTATGTATGTGATGGAATGAAAGTGGAGGCTCCGTCCTGTGTGATGGAATGAAAGTGGAGGCTCCGTCCTGTGTGATGGAATGAAAGTGGAGGCTCCGTCCTGTGTGATGGAATGAGAGTGGAGGCTCCGTCCTGTGTGATGGAATGAGAGTGGAGGCTTCGTCCTGTGTGATGGAATGAGAGTGGAGGCTCCGTCCTGAGTGATGGACTGATGTACACAGCTAGTCATTATTTCCTTAGTGCATCTCACATAAAATCAGGATCCGCACACACACACACACACTGCTGACGTAACCGATTTTCTCAAAAAAAATCTCCCATTGCAACAAATCCGTAACAAGTCCATAACAAATTCGCACGAAGTCCACAACAAATCCACAACAATGGTGGAGGGTTGAGTCTGGGTTTCTTGAGCAAGCGACACCCGCCCTCAAACCACTAGCCTTTAACTCACCCAGGTTGACCTCTCGTAATGACACGGAGTGGGGAATTGATAGTATGTTAGACATTCTCCAAGGTCATCCTAGTGCTGTATACATCTGCGGGTCAATATTGGTTTGAGAGGGTAGAAAAAAAGCAAAGTATGGGTTTGAGAGGGTGGAAGAAGAGCAGAGCAGAGTATGGGTTTGAAAGGGTGGAAGAAGAGCAGAGCAGAGCAGAGTATGGGTTTGAGAGGGTGGAAGAAGAGCAGAGCAGAGTATGGGTTTGAGAGGGTGGAAGAGGGCCCATACATAGCACTGCTTTCCTCTTATTTCTAGCAAGAACACTGCCTCTCCGGGTTTTACACATTTCTTGCTCTGTCTCGAGTCTCAATATTTCTTCATTATGTGAAGTGTTTCGACACAACTGCGTGGTGACCTTCCTCTTAATACTTGTGACTGCCCAGGCAGGCAGGCAGGCAGGCAGGCAGGCAGGCAGGCAGGCATGCAGGCACGCAGGCAGGCATGCAGGCAGGCAGGCAGGCAGACACTCCTACTTCTTGCCCCGTGCAACTCAGTTTAAACTTCTCGGAATTATGTACAGTCCAGCTGCTGGAGATTTAGCTGCCCCAGTATTGCACTGAGACCAGGTGCTTTATTCTGCTAGTATTGTGACACGGACATTGACCTAATGTGCCCGAAATACTCAGCATAACATGGGGCTTTCTATATAGTAGTATATCATTGATGTCAGCTATGGTCTGTATACCTTGTACATGTACTTGTAGTAAAGATATTATTATTATTATTATTATTATTATTATTATTATTATTATTATTATTGTTGTACATTGATGTTCTATACCCAAAGCCTGAATATAAATTACTAACTTATTTGCTTATTCCTTAAACGCTTGTCAGTCTTACAGAAAAGTTTGGTTTGATTTTGGGTTATGTACTTCCTAATTTGACTTTACTACAGTAATGGTGTACAGTATGGACAGGTAGGAGAGTAACACCTGAGTGTTACACGTCTACTTGTCTTATTCTATGTGAAATCCTGGTTTTCAAGTGATAATTTCTGAGTGTTTCATCTGATTAACTTCAACCCTTGAATGCTGATAACTAGATAATGTATCTTACGGGCGGCTTGAAACTTAAAGTACTGATGTATTTTAGCATATTAATCTGACTGAGATAACAAGAGAATATCTCTTCAGTTTAGCCTCAAAACGTGTTTCTTTGTGGCAAGATTTGAATTAGATTTGCCTTGTATAGGTAGTATTTTTGCCATTTTTATTGAAATTGGGATATTAGTGTCCATGTGATAACTTGCAAACACCTTAACTAATTCACTTTATCTTTCACACTAATATTGTACTGCATTATCAACTTAGGTTGAACTCTGCATTATTGCTATCACATGCATTGAGGTACAGAGGACTAGGGTTATGTAATACAGGGATACCTTCCTCGGATTATTAATGTATAGGGGGCTGGGGTTATACAATTTGGGGATAAAATCTTGGACTGAAATACATCTAGACATTAGTATAATTATTATTGAACTGTGAATGTATTTAGCATTTGTTGTTCAAAGAAATTTTCACATTTAATTCTTCTTCGTCTTCTTCGTCTTCTTCTTCTTCTTCTTCTTCTTCTTCTTCTTCTTCTTCTTCTTCTTCTTCTTCTTCTTCTTCTTCTTCATCTTCGTCTCCATTGTCTTATCGTTCTTTTTTCCTTTTTATTCGTGTACAGGTTTCGCTCTCTTTTCAAAGATGCATATCACTCCATCTTACCCTGACATTTACCTCCTCTTCTTATAAATACATTTCTCACTTTCTTTAAAAACATGCATGTCACTCCATCTTACTTCCGTATTATGACTTTAGTGGTGATGTTGCAGATGATGTTGCATCTCTGGCTACTTTTTGTCACCTTACAGAAGTAGAGCTAGAGTAGAGCTAGAGTAGAGCTAGAGTAGTGTTGTAGACACCAGTCACTCTCGTTATGATTATTAAAGATAAAACACATATGCAACACTTGGAGTATACCAGGTATACTCCAAGTGTACCTGGAGTATACCTGGACAGGGTTTCGGGGATCAACGCCCCCCCCCTCGCTACCTGGTCTGTGACCAGGCCTCTTCATTGCCAAAACGTTTCTCTAATAAAGATACCCAGATGTTACACACATGTCTTATTCATCAGCTTATTGCCTAAAATAATTATCTTTGGCCCCAAAAATAGATCTGTAGATAAATAGTTGTATGATATGCAAAAGAGTTTTTAGATTTTATACACTCATGTAAACTTTTTTTTTAGGTAAGTTTTTATTGAGGCTTTGAGGATATAACATACAATTTTGGCAGCGATCTTGGCAGCAGACTCTCGATGATCACGTTTTTTTCTTCTAGTGGACTACACCTCATCTTCCGACAGTATACAAGACTCCATACTGTCGCTTCAACTCACATTGTTCCAGACTAACAAGCTGTATAGCTCTTGTGGTTTAGCGCTTCTTTTTGATTATAATAATAATCCAGACTAACAGAACTCCTAAGTTGTTTGACCTTGAAGAAATGAAACAATGTAAATATATATATAACTCATGGATCAAATGGAAATGACAATAAAATAAGGACTTACAGCTAGATTCTTGAGTGCTAACAGACTGCTGTGGGTCGCATCCTGGGGAAGGAAAGCAAAGAACCCCAATGGAAATAAGCCACACTGTATATCTCGCGTTATGTGAATAAAATCTTTCTCAAAGCAGGAGTGTAGGAACGACTGTCTGCTTGATAATGTCAGAGTATCTCCTCTCATGGGGCAGGTTTTCTTTAACAAGTTTAACCAGAAACTTTTACATTCCCGGAGAGGAGTGTGAGGCAGCAGAATTTGTTGGGTGATCCCAATAATTTAGGGTGTTATCAGACTGGCTTAATTCCTTTGAGGTGCTTTGAACTTACACAAATAACCCGCACATACGAGAAAGAAATTTATGACGACCTTTCCGTCAAAGCAAATACGATAGTAATTATGGACAAGATAGATTATAGAGGAAAAATAAACATGATGTTAGGAGACAGAGAAACTCAGGCACCTCTTAAACTTTGTGGACAACAGAGGCTATAACTTACTTCCTAAAGCCACGTGCTGAATAGCACTATTTTATCTTGTCCATTTTAAAAAATGTCCTAAAATTTTCCTTTGAAAACAGTGGATGCAATCATCACTTCCAGTCAGACTTGGTATAAGTACAGCCTCTCAAACTGCCTTATAATAATACTACTATATGGAAAGCCCCTTGTTATACTGAGCATTTCGGGCAAATTTGGTTAGTTTTGTCCCAGGATGCGACCCACACCAGTCGACTGACACCCAGGTACCCATTTTAGTGATAGGTGAACAAGAACAACAGGTGTACGGAAGCACGTCCTAATGATTGTCAGCCGTACCGGGGACTCGAACTCTGGACCTCAATGTGTGAACCGAGTCCTCTAGCGATCGAGCTACAGAACACATTGCTAGTCTTTTTATTCTAATCTTCACAATCAAATAAATTAGTAGCAAATTCTACCAAATCACCTGAGTGATTTAGCAGGAGTGCGAGACCCAAGCTTCACTAGAGGCAGCACCAAAACCAACTGCGGTGGTCTAAGGCGTCAAGAATTGAGCTAGTTTCCCGGGAGGTTGTCTAGACGACTCGGGTTCAATTCCCGGCCGGTCACAGTATGTTCTTTGCTTTAAAACCACTTGTTTCCGTGGATATATATAAAAGCAGAGGCAATATACCATTCCAATATTTACCACTGAAATTAGTAATAAGATTCACTAGGAAGTTGAGGTTCTTAAAGATAAACTCTGATAGATCAGATTAATAACGTTACTTTTTTTTCTTGCAGAGTGGAGAGATGGTGCCCAGGTTACCCTGTCTGCTGTTATTAGGTAAGAAACTTAAGTGGTTGTGGTAGCAGTAGTATTGATAACAGGTCACAGTAAATTTAGAAAGTGAAATCCAGAATCTGTGTCAGATTATAATTATTATAATTTCGATGCATTGGAGGTTAGGCTATGTACGCACATAGGTATATAACTCAATGTTTATACACGAAATTTGCTTTAATTACTGTTTTCAGGAACTAAAATATTCCTGGTTGATGGTAAATAGGTTGTATTTAGCCTTAATGACTGTCCGTGTGCGTGAGTGTACTTAACTAACTGTACGTTAGTTGTCTCTTCAGAGGTTAGGCTCTGCTAAGACAATGTGGACTGACCTGCGTAGCTAGTTTCCAGTCCCGTGTGTTGTCATGTTTCTGCTGTCTGTGAGTGGAGTTGGTCTCCACTGCCTTTCTTCCTACCTTCTTTCACTACTTCTCCTCTTCCTAGTTTCTTCCTCTCCTCCACTACCTCTCTTCTTGCCTTCATCCATTCCTCTACTACTTACCTTCTTCCATTACTTTACACTTGGAATCTCTATTGTTCCTTTGCTTTATCTGGATGCCTAAATATTCATTGCTCTCCAGTATTAGTCAGCCCATCTTGTTTATATCTCTCTTGGTATCTTTCATGTTGTGATCATAGTTCCCATGACTTCCACCAGTCAAGAATACTTTAATGGGGTTCCTAAAATAAAGATTAATGTAAATTCTTAGTGTAAATACATTCATTGTACATAGGCTTATCCTTTATGACTTCATAAAGCCCACTGTGTGGGCGAAACGTTGTTAATAAAGGATCGCATTACACTGCATCTGTATATCTTTTCTCTAATAATTATCTTGGTATTTGATATAACTAATTATTTAGCATGTGAAATCCACTGACCTGGTGCTATGGTGCTCATGATCGGGATTACCGGACTAAGGATCGAGCCTCCTCCACTCGATAGAAGGAATGACTCGCACGGGTTTAGTGCTTCCTGAAGCACACTACAATATTTCTTATCGGGAAATGGATGATGAGTTGTGATTAATTCCAGCCATGTATGCAAGAACCAGACGTTTCGCCAACCAGTGACTGGATAAAGCTACTGACTGGTGAACATTAAAAAGGTATAAAATACCGACAGGTTGTTAAGTACTTAACTACTGACTGGTGCAGTGTCTCCTTAAATCCTAGTTATGGCGTGTTTATTCCACGCATACTTGTCGGTGTTACTTCCATTCCCTCCAACAACGAAATTGATCTTGGTTCTTCATCACTAACGTGGTTTCTGTCTAGCAGGGTTGACTGTTGCAGCCTCTGGATTGATCAGTATTCAACACAATGTTACCATACTAAGGTAGTCTCCTTCCAGCAGGGTTGACGGTTGCAGCCTCTGGATTGATCATCGGAGACGAGGGTCCTCCTGGAACACTTACGAAGAAGTCTCCCATCTACTTTCCTGTACTACTTGACGACTTTCAGGTGAGAGCAATACTCATGCTGCCTTGTGCATGACAAGACACAAATACCAAACACTGACGACAGTGTATAGTACTTGTGCGATTTTTAACACTATCTACGTGACAATGTGAGACACACACACTGTTTTTGCAAATTCAATTGATATTTACATCCAGAGTGAAATAACACTCTGAAGATCTTTTCCTGCGCTATTAAATGTTGGATGTACTTTCGAACTGCATTTCCCAAAAATGGCACAGTACAGAGGAGCTAAGTAAGAGAGCTTACAGGACATCTTTATTAAATACATTTCGGTCCTGGAACCTCTGTCAAATTAAGACCAAGTGTTCTTTCATCAACATTGTGGGTATCAATATACCTACCCTGTTACTTCCTGGAACCTTATTTATCAATAATTTTCTTCTCAGGTTTAGGTTAAGTTATCCTGCATTAAGCTAGGAGCTGTCATCATGTCTCAGCTCATTGTATAGCCTGTGGTTAATTTAGAGAAGTAAGCAATAATTGCGAGCAATCGATATGAGACTGAAAACAACCACGGGGAGAGTTGAATGATAGCTCCAGTCCCCTTGCATTGCAATCAATACATCTTCAGGAGCTTACAGCGTTGCAGAAATTAGTAAGAAGTCCAGGTAAAGTCGTTCAAGGGAACGACTGCAGATAGAGTCGTTACCCACAACTAAGTCCATTGCATCTATGCACCACTGAACCCACGACATCTACTACTCAGCCAACTACATATATCTACCACTGAGCCCATCATATCTATCTACCACTTTCCCCACCGTATTCACCCTCCTCCCCGACCAACTGACCCTGCCTTCGTGTTCTTCCCGGCAGGAGTTCCCAGTGAGGCTGGGTGTGGGTAAAGATCTGGACTCTGGGATCAGAGAGCAGTTACCTGCGACTACCAGCAAGCCTACCACCACTACTATCCGTCTCCCACTCAACCCTGATGGTGTTAGCAGCCATGTCGCCCTGGAGGTAACACTTATTATTATTATTATTATTATTATTATTATTATTATTATTATTATATTCATGGGAAAGCGGTAAATCTGCGTGGTCATACAGCGCCTGATTAACATAGCAGTAACTTGTAGGTAAGTTGAGTCCTGAGAGAGTTGTGCTGTAAATAGCCCTTCAAGATTAGCACTCTCCCTTGAAAATAATTACCATAACTTTATCCCTCGCCTTACCTGTGCCCATCACTTGCCTGTGCCCATCACTCGAATGTGCTCATCACTCATCTGTGCCCATTTTCTCAGGTGGTGACGCATGCGCCGGGTCCCTCCTACCTGACTGACTCCTACTACTACCTGGACGACCACACCCCACTGCCGGGCTCCACGGAGAAGCACTCTAGCGAGGAACAAGACCACGACCTGCCCGAGTTGGACCGTGAGGGCGAGGACCAGGTATGTAAAGCTGGACCATGAGAGCGAGGACCAGGTATGTACAGCTGGACCGTGAGGGCAAGGACCAGGTATGTAAAACTGGACTGTGATGGCGAGGACCAGAATCTCTCAAAAAAAAGCCGTGTATGGGTATGAAGGGTGGGTTTTTAATGTTGCATCAAGAAGTAGGCTAGAGAAAGTGTTTGAGGGCAGTTTATGATGTGAAAATTATGCAGAGAATTCAGAGTTGGACTCGGATGTGAGGAGTTACTAGAAGTATTATCCAGAGGACTAGGAGGGGTTGTTGGTTTGGATATTTAGAGAAGATGGAGAAAATAGGAAGACTAGGAGGGAGTATAAATCTGGGGTGGAAGGAAGGAGGGGTAGAAATCGTTCTAGAAAAAGTTAAGGGGAGGCGGTAAAGCTGTGTTGAGTGCTAGGATCTCGGACATCCAACAGTCTTATGTGAATGAGTGAAAGCAAATAATTTTTATGATTTGACGTGCTGTTAGAGTGTGAGCAAGGTGACATTTATAAAGGGATTCGGGGACACACGTTAGTTGGGTTTGAGTCTTGGAGGAGGGAAGTACAGTGCCTGCCCTCTGACGGAGTGTTGTTGTGGTTTGGAGGATAATCTGAACTGAGTTGTCGGCGACACACACACACACACACACACACACACACACACACACACACACACACACACACACACACACACACACACACACACACACACACACACATATACATATATATATATATATATACCTATATATATATATACCTATATATATATACCTATTTGGCACGACATTATATATATATATATATATATATATATATATATATATATATATATATATATATATATATATTTATATAATATATATATATATATATATAATATATATATATATATATATATATATATATATATATACACACTGCCAAGTGAGTGTAAAACGAAAGCCTGTAATTGTTTTACATGATGGTAGGATTGCTGGTGTCTTTTGTCTCTCTCATAAACATGCAAGATTTCAGGTACGTCTTGCTACTTCTACTTACACTTAGGTCACACTACACATACATGTACAAGCATATATACACACACCCCTCTGAGTTTTCTTCTATTTTCTTTCTAGCTCTTGTTCTTGTTTATTTCCTCTTACCTCCATGGGGAAGTGGAACAGAATTCTTCCTCCGTAAGCCATGCGTGTAGTAAGAGGCGACTAAAATGCCGGGAGCAAGGGGCTAGTAACCCCCTTCTTCTGTATATATTACTAAATGTGAAAGGAGAAACTTTTGTTTTTCCTTTTGGGCCACCCTGCCTCGGTGGGATACGGCCGGTGTGTTGAAAGAAAGAATATATATATATATATATATATATATATATATATATATATATATATATATATATATATATATATATATATATATAATATAAACAGTATATTCTCTACAGGAGCTGCAGAGTCTGACGCCTCACGCCTCTCGCTTCTTCAGCAAGAAGAAGACGTCCACTGCCCTCTTTCTCGTCGACGACATTTCCACACCCGCCCCCATCACGCCCATTCATGGCTTCAAGACGCCCATACACGCCCCTGACTCGCCCGTACAAGCCTCTGGTTCGCCTACACGCACCCCTGGCTCGCCCACACGCACCCCTGGCTCGCCCACACGCGCCCCTGACTCTCCTACACGCACCCCTGGCTCGCCCACACGCGCCCTTGGCCCTCCCATACACCCCCCGGCCATAGAAACACAGGGTCCTACACGTCAAGGAGGTCAGATCTTTGAGAGTGAAGGTCCTGGACGCACCGCGACCAGTGTATCACCCACTCGTTCCTTCACCCGCCCACAGCCACCACCTCCCTCCCCATCACCCAAGCCCATCAAGCTACGACCAGCCTACACGCCCATCCCCACGCCCGCCCCCTCTACTGTTCCCTCACGCTTCCCTGCCACTTCCAGAGCCCGCATCAATTACACGCCCAGTCGCGCGCCCTCCCAGGACTACGCCACGCCCAGCACCCCTATCCGCTCCTCCACCACCAGACCTACCACTGTCAGACTTGTATCACGAAGACCCAGTTTCGAGTCGTCCCGCTTGAGCGGCTTCAAGAAACCATTTCAGACAACAGCAGCTCTCACGGGCGCCCGCCGCACGCCCACACCACCCACCACCACAACCAGCAGGGACTATGGCAGACGGACATCTCCAGGGATAAATTCTGGACGCCAGAGATTGAGTGGGTCAAGTAGAGGCAGAGTAGAGGAAGCTCCGGTGTACCGCACCTCTACCACGGCGTACCGTGCACCGTCTTCACTATATAACGTGAGAGGAGCCAGCACCACCACCGTCACCGCACCAGCACAACCTGACTTCATCCAGTCTGGTAAACTACTACAAATGTTATTACTGTTATTAGGTTCAATGGGCTGATAACCCCGGAAGGTTCGCACAGCTACGGGAATAGGAAGTACAGTAACTATAATTCCTTGGGTCAGGAGAACTTCACAGGTATCAAGACACTCTTCACCCCTTCTCCCATTAAGGGTCATTCTATTAATTCCCCCCCCCCATCCTTAACATGGTTGTAAAAAAGTAGGCCTCCTTAATAATGCATTTTGGGTAAGTTAGGCTTACTTCCTTACCAGTATCAACACTTAATTTTGTTTCATTAGGCATACTATCCTACCTTTCATAGTATTACTTATTACCATATAGTTGGTAACAAGTTATCTTGGTTCCATTAGAACGAATCCCTTACTGTGGGAAGAACGACCATTATGCTGTAGTCTTGGTCGCTACTCTGAGGAGCGCCTGCCATCAGAAACTACCTGGCAGTCAGTAACTAAGACCTTCTTCTGACAGACCCTAACATCTACGTGCCGGTGGAGTACGACGAGGAGGCCATCCCTGGTGAGGCTGGCCTCGACTACCCTGTCTACGATACCGTCCCAGACACTGGCTTCTCCTGTGTCGACCAGGAACACCCAGGGCTCTACGCTGATGTCGACGCTAAGTGCCAGGTAGGAAAGGTGCTCAGAACCAGGTAGGAGATGTATCAAGTGCCACAGGTGCTTAGTGAGAGCTGTATAACGTGATACACTGGGTAGTCTAGATAGTTACTGTCAAGTATTGTGCAGGGCTGAGAGTGGGAGATTTCGGAATATTAGTGTCATATTTAGGTAATTAGAAGGAGACCATAAGATAATGGGAGGGTAAATATTGCAGTGAATGGGACAGATACCCATTCTTGTTGTGGCATCAGGCTGACAGAGGAAAACTTGGGCATAAAAGATTGTAGAACAAACGTGACGAGCAGAAAGGAGACATAAATGCTACACTGAAGGGAAGACGATGTATATCTTCATAACAATGTTTATTTTAAATCCAATATGATAATTTTCTTACATTCTTTTACGTTTGCTTCTGTTTTATTCCTTACATGTTTTTGAACGTTCGCATTACTTTGTGGTAATGATCTCTGAGTCCAAACTCATCTCCATCATTTCATACTATTGAAAACTGTCTTCCTAGCCCTGGTGTTTACAACTTTCCTCTCTCCGCACTGTCTTTTCTAATTTCCATTCTTCTCTCTGTCGTTTACACCTATTTCCTCCCTTTCCCCCATTACGATTCCTGTGTGCCCTCTCATTTTCATGTTCCTCTACATCCTCCCAGTTCATCCCTATTCCCAATATTTATTCTTCCCTCTTAGTTCTCTGTTGAACAGTTTCCCCAGTGTCACCCTCCCATATTCTACTGTAAACCTCACTTGGTCTTTCTCTCCTCCAGACGTTCCACATCTGCCAGGATGACGGGAGACAAGACTCGTTCTTGTGCCCCAACGGGACGGTCTTCAACCAACAGTACTTCGTCTGTGACTGGTGGTACAACTTCGCCTGCGATCAAGCCACCAGATTCTACTCTCTTAATGCCTTACTCTACGTACTCCCAGACACGGGAAAGTACGCCAGAAAATAAATCGAAGACATCTGTTTACATATATATATTACATATATATATTATTTCTGCTCATTTGCGATGTGATTATACATTTTAATACACGAGGTGATTCGTCTTGCTGCGATTTTGTTTCTAAGTGTGAGAGAAAATACAAGGAGAGTAAGTTAAGTAGTTCGTGTGTATACACGAAGAGTGTTAAGTGTAGTTTCGTGTAAATATGATGTTTATATTTTTCATATATTGTATATAAAATTGTAGGCTGATGTTTTGTGCTATTCTCCACACTACTGACTGCTTACTTGCCGTTCATTCTCAGTGACGTATACACTTTGGTAATGTATATACATTCTCAGTGACGTATACACTTTGGTAATGTATATACATTCTCAGTGATGTATACACTTTGGTAATGTATATACATTCTCAGTGACGTATACACTTTGGTAATGTATATACATTCTCAGTGATGTATACACTTTGGTAATGTATATACATTCTCAGTGATGTATACACTTTGGTAATGTATATGCATTCTCAGTGACGTATACACTTTGGTAATGTATATACATTCTCAGTGATGTATACACTTTGGTAATGTATATACATTTTCAGTGATGTATACACTTTGGTAATGTATATACATTCTCAGTGATGTATACACTTTGATAATGTATATACATTCTTAGTGATGTATACACTTTGGTAATGTATATACATTCTCAGTGATGTATACACTTTGATCATGTATATACATTCTCAGTGATGTATACACTTTGATAATGTATATACATTCTCAGTGATGTATACACTTTGGTAATGTATACACATTCTCAGTGATGTATACACTTTGGTAATGTATACACATTCTCAGTGATGTATACACTTTGGCAATGTATACACATTCTTGGTGATGTATACACTTTGGTAATGTATACATTTTAGTAAGATATACATTAATAAAGTGTATTAGAGGGAATATGTGTACATTCACATGAATGTGTATACCTTATGCATTTTCAATTACGTATACACATTCTTACTGATGTGTACACATTATCAGCAACGTATACACAGTAATATATACACTCAATGATATATACATATCAATAATACATACACATTCTTAGTGATGTATACATATCCAGATCAACGTAAGTTGTGCTAAAAAAATGCATGTTATCTTAGATGTATAAAAACCTTGCCATACATGTATAGAGATGTGTAATATGTATTATCAGTGGTGATAGTCAAAATTGGAGAATGTGAGACGTATTGCTGTGGTTACTAGTCCGATCTTCAACGTCTGTTTTTCCCTGTGATTGAGATAATCCAAGTATTTGTTTTCTGTCACTTGCGACTTGATAATAGTTCAGGGCGAACCGAAACCTCGTCTAGTTTCCATCTGCAGTTTGTGAGGTTAGTTGTGAATGGCTGTTATTCCCTGAAATCTAAGCGGTGACTTCGTACGTCATTTACATTGGGTCATCCAAGACACTTGTAACTTTCTTTCGGGTCGAGTCATCTCTTAACTGAACTTTCTTTAATGTGTAAGACCAATAAAAGTGCAATGAACATTTGTCGATGCTAATAACTCACATGAAAACAGATGCTCGGAAAATAATGCAGGTCTGTATATTTCGACCCTTAACTGGAGTCCAGTCCCGTTTTATATCTGCTGAGTAGGATTCAGGTTGAAAGCCGATGTATTCAGATACACTTTATTTTCCAAGTTTCTGTCTACAAGTGGATTACAACGTTCTGTAATGTGTGTTAGAGGCGCCGTACAGCGCATCGCTCTACAACAACAATGACGTTGAGTGTGTATTGAGAGTCACACCTCACCAAAGGCTGGGTCAGCAAAAATCCCTTGTGATATTTGTGCAAAACAATGGACACCATTATGGTTATTTAACTCAGGTGGGTTATTAACCCAGAATAACCCAACACAACCCGATAATACAGCTCATTTCCTTCAAGAGTCGCGAAATCTTAACGGCTTTGAGGGGACTTGAGCTAGAGTTCTTCACGGCCATGCTGGCGTGAGATTCATCAGTAAAAACTTGCATTTGCGATTACAGTGGGGCCTATGCTAACCTCCCTATAGCGTATAAATATACCTAGTTAGTGTGTTGTAGGCAGCTGGCCCAGTGGCTTACGCACTGGCCTGGAGTTTTACGACCCACCATGGGTTCTAACCCCACCCCCTACCGTGATTTCCATCAAGGTACTTTCCCAGGATGCGACCCACATAGTCAGGTACCGATTTAATGCTAAATGAACAGGGGCCGCAGCTATAAGGAGATTTGTACATACGTCTCAACTGGCATGGGAACCAAACCCGGGCTCTGAATGTGAGCTAAACACTTAACCGCTAAACTACAATGGCTGACGTTTAGCGCTTTATTTAATTATAATACAATGGCTGACAACCGATTACCGTGTTAAGATTATGTTTAATTTATAGTTCATTCCACTACTCTCTGCGAGTCATTTGTTGTACCAGAGTTGCTGGCTACTGTGTCATAAGATCAGACTCTCAACTTCAGCTTAAGACAGGATTTTTACTATTGGGATGTATTAGTCAACTGTTATCACCATGAAACCAGATTTTTTTATATATTTTTCCTGGTCGATAAAGGTGAAGACATTCTGAGAGGAGGACACTTTATAATTCCTTGATAAGTTCCTTATCATGTACTGCTGTCAGTGAATACTCTTTATTTCCGATTTTCTGTCTTGTTCTGTGTGTGTGGACTCAATTGTACTCACCTAATTGTATGTGTGGTTCACCATTACTGTCTCCTCAGCATCTTAGCAAGGTCGTGTTTTCTCACCTCTAGTTAAGTCTTGTTAATATTTATTGTCACTCAGGGGCCACAATCTGAGCTCTCCTGGATAAAGAATTACTGGCTTACTGGTTGGTAATCACCCATCTCTCTCTCTCTCTCTCTCTCTCGGTTGTTTACACACATTGCTGTCTTGACTTCCTCTTTCGTTCATTCTCTCTCGTGTAACATGTCTCCAGGCGTCTTCCGTAGATCAAACTGTTTCTTCTCTGATATTAGGTGTATAAACACCACTTGCCAGTGTTATGAAGGATTACCCTTACATAATATTTACTTGTATATAAAACAAAAACTATAGAATCAAATATAAATATATATTATATATATATATATATATATATATATATATATATATATATATATATATATATATATATATATATATATATATATATACGTGTAAGTGCTGTGTAACTGGATGTGGGGTCGGTGTTCCCATCCCGATCGTATTTGGTCAAAATGTATATAAAGTCATGTTATCTGGTCTCTGTTTAGTACTGAAAGGTAAAGGTGCTACCAATTGACTTGTTAGAAATAGAACACCATTTTCTCAAGCTCTTTCTATAGAAAGAATAAAAAAAAGTCACAATACCGTGGCTTTAACAATACACCGAAAGTCAGCACTTAGGAGAGGATCCTTATGATCATTGTCATGTGACCTGATAATGGTCCAAAACAGACCGAAACATCGTCATGAGTTTCTTCTAAGTGTGAGGTTTTGCTGGTTCAATTTTTGTATATTTTGAGACATGCTCAAAATTTGTTTAACATGTTACTGAGGAAAATGCAAAAAATTTTTAATGAAAAATTATTTTTATAATTACACAGAGGTATGTATATTTTTATACATGACTTACAAGTTCGTGAGGAATCAGATCTTGTGTTATAATAAGGCTATATGATTTCTATGATATATATGTGTGTGTGTGTGTATGTGAAATATTCCACCATATAGATGTTCCCTTTTGCCTAACATTGAATATAAACATTTTCTGAGGCAAATATAAACATTACACTTAATACTTGATAATCTGGTTAATAATTTATTTTTATCTGCTGTTGATTCTTGTTCAAAAATTATTTATTCTGGGATAATATTCTATTTATCTTCCCTATTATATTATTTATTTCATTTTCAACGTCTGTCAAACCTACATGTATTAAACTTGCTAAAAATATATTCTGTATTTTCAAAATCCTTGTCCATCATGGTATTTATTTTATATGTTATAGTCTCTCATATATATATATATTATATATATATATATATATATATATATATATATATAATATATATATATATATATATATATATATACGTGACACGATTCTAAATAAACCACGGTACGGGTGGGGATTGAACTCGCGGCGATTGAGTCGTAAAAAACTAGGCCAGTGCGTAAGCCAGTGGGCCAGCTGGGGGGTACTCTAGAGCTATCGTTCAACTCCCCCTGTGATTTTTTTTTTCATCTAGTATCGCTTGTTCGGGATTATTGCACAATCTAACATATGTAAATTTCCTAGTATACCGCCCCCCCCCCCGAAAAAAAAGTCAAAATAATTTATTTTCACTGTGGTTCTTGTATTAATTTTGTTTTGTTATTAATCAACGTTGTATGACTTGTGGGTTTAGTGCTTAGTTTTTATAATAATATTGTTATTAATGACAAGAATAATATTATTATTGTTATTATTAATGATAATGATGATAATATTAATATAAATTACAATATTATTAATGATAACGATATTAATAATTATTATTATATTATTATTATTATTATTATTATTATTATTATTATTATTATTATTATTATTATTAAAGACTATAATAATATTATTCTTATTATTAATGATAACGATAATAATAATAATATTATTAAAGACAATAATAATGATATTATTATTAATGATAATGATAATATTATTAATATTAAGACACTAATAATGATATTATTAATGATATTAATATTAATATTATTATTACTAAAGACAGTAATAATAATGAAATTATTATTAATGATAACGATAACGATAATAATAATATTAGAGAAGGTTTATTCACCATGAAAGTGTTAGGTCAGTAGTGTCTTGAGTGGCAGCTGCTTGGAGGGACCAGCACACAGTGCACCTCTCATAATAACGGTTATTATGGCGGTTGTGCACCTTGAAGACCTTGCTATTATATACGAAAACATTCACGAATGCTTGTTGCACACTTTGAAAAGGTATGAATATGGATATTAATGTTGCAAGCCAAGTTTTTGTTGTTTGAGTGGTTACGATGTGCGTTAATGAACATGGTGGGAAGGGCTCTTGTTTCGTGGAAGCGGAGCTACTCCCTCCCTTTCCTTGGATCAAATGTAATTGTTTCTCATTCTCCAGGTGCTGTATACTAGTATAGGATATATAGAGCGATATGTGTAGTTCTCTCAGCGTATAGCCTTTGTGGTTTAGCGCTTATTTTTGATTATAATAATAATCTCATATATGCTCAGAGTTTTATCATTATTTAAATAATAATAATAAGATACAGTAGGACTCAGTCATGATTATATACTTAAAACAACTAAGTAACTCAACCGTGTGAAAATATTTCTTGCAGTCTTAATACTAGAGTAGATAGGCTTTAAACCCCATTAACAAGCCAGGTGTTGTATGACCCTTACGAGTTATTTCCCTATGAATACCCCTCAAGGAAGGTTCCTTGATGTTGGTGAGGGGCTCTTGATTTAGGAAATTGGATCTGTGCTCCAGTTCCCCGAATTAAGCCTGAATGCCTTCCACATCCCCCCCCCCAGGCGCTGTATAATCCTCCGGGTTTAGCGCTTCCCCTTGATTATAATAATAATCCCTATGAATAATGTGTGTCGTCTTGAATAACCCAGGCGGGTTTAGGACTATTTTAATATAACAGTCTGTATATACACTGAGAAATCATATTATATTGCTTTTTTTTTGTCAAGTTGCAGTCCCGCTGCAACGATCAATTGCAGAGAATTGTGTCAGGGAGGGTGAAGATGTGGCAGTTTTGACAGTGAGAACCTCTTAGGAGTTAGTAAGTTTATTTAGGTTCAGGAACATGCAAGCACAATTTTCATACATTGTTTAACATATGCAAAATAACCACTATGGGTGTTGAATGATAGCTCTTGGCCTTTCTTGTTGCAATCGACACATCAAGTTAGTCTTACAGGGGAAAGACTCTAGCTAGAGTAGTTCCCCTGAACGATACTACTTGGGCGGCTTATTCATTCTGCTATATTGCAAGCTCCTGATGTGTCGATTGCAGCACGAAAGGCCTAGAGCTATCATTCAACTCCCCCTGTGATTGTTTTGCATCTTATTTCGCTTGTTCAGAGTTATTGCATAATTTAACATATGTAAATTGCCTAGGATAACCCCAAGAAAAAGTCAGTGACTTATTTTCATTGGAGTCCTTGTAATATACTATTATTGAAAGCCTAGCAGTAAGTTACAATAGACATCAGTTATGATTATTGCTTTTAAAATTAAAAAACTAACTCCACTGTGTGAAAAAATGTCATAATAAAAGGCGATACAATGGGAATAAAGTCAACCGAGTTATTTAGACAGTGTAACTGTGTTGGTGTCCACTGGACGCTGCAGGTGACTGCTGCCGAATTTGGAGAAAGATGAGTGTTGTGTATTTCGATGGTACCATATAATAAATTTTCTTTACAATAATGCAATTTATGGTCTTGAGTGAAAACTGAGCACCGAAGAGCATGCGAGGGTGTTCTTCAGAACGTGCGAGGGTGTTCTTCAGAACGTGCGAGGGTGTTCTTCAGAACGTGCGAGGGTGTTCTTCAGAACGTGCGAGGGTGTTCTTCAGAACGTGCGAGGGTGTTCTTCAGAACGTGCGAGGGTGGTCTTCAGAACGTGCGAGGGTGGTCTTCAGAACGTGCGAGGGTGGTCTTCAGAAGCGAGGTGGTTCAGAAATGCGGGTGTTCTTCAGAACGTGAGAGGGTTCTTCAGAACGTGCGAGGGTGTTCTTCAGAACGTGCGAGGGTGTTCTTCAGAACGTGCGAGGGTGTTCTTCAGAACGTGCGAGGGTGTTCTTCAGAACGTGCGAGGGTGTTCTTCAGAACGTGCGAGGGTGTTCTTCAGAACGTGCGAGGGTGGTCTTCAGAACATGCGAGGGTGTTCTTCAGAACGTGAGAGGGTTCTTCAGAACGTGCGAGGGTGTTCTTCAGAACGTGCGAGGGTGTTCTTCAGAACGTGCGAGGCGCTAGATTCACATTTTACTCTACAATATTCAGAGAAAATATTTGTTTTCGTGAAAAAGCTTAGTTGTTGAATGCGGTTTGCCCATAGAGGGAGACTAATGGAAATTTGTCCAAACTCAGTATGTCATACCAAGAAGATTTGAGCTTCCTTTTCAACCCTGATGGAGTCCTAAGTTACTCCATTAATACACTGTGAAATTTATTATCAAGTGATGATCACTCCAGGAGTTGAGAAATTTCAGTTGAGAGGTAGAAGTGCAGTTCTTGTGAGTGTCCGTCAGTGCTATTAGTTGGAGCAGTATTTTTTTTTTTCCTTCAAATAGTAGTCCTTGGCGAGGTGGGTCTATGTTCCTTGGACTAACGTATAATATGAGATGTGTCGACTTTCACTGAGTGCCTGAGATGCATGTTCATGACTAGGTGGGTTTGACAGAACGTGTCCTGACCCGGGTCTTCTCCATGTGGTGACCCGACAGTGACTCCCGAAGGAGTGTCAGAGTTGGTACAAGTGTTGTACCGTTTACAGCCCTATGACAAGGGTACAGTGAGCATTCATGTCAAGTGGTGTACCGTTTACAACCCTATGGCAGGGGCAGCCCTATGACAAAGGCACGGTGAGTCCCATTTGAACCATTTTTGCCATGAAGTCGACGTTGTCCCAGTCATTTTGATCTTCAACGAGTCTCTTCAAGTCGCTTGTTGATTGGTTGGTGACGTCGCTGAAGCTCTCGCTTCACACACGGAGGTCCCGGGTTCGATTCCTGGCGGGTGGAAACATTTCGACGCGTTTCCTTACACCTTCTGTCCTGTTCACCTAGCAGCATATAGGTACCTGGGAGTTAGTCGACTGGTGTGGGACGCATCCTGAGGGACAAGATTAAGAACCCCAATGGAAATAAGTTAGTCCTTGATGACGCACTAACTTTCTTGGGTTATCCTGGGTGGCTAACCCTCCGGGGTTAAAAATCCGAAGAAAATCTTATCTTAATACCGATTTCTTGGCCCTCACCGAGGGAAGACGAGCCACTTCGAAGTTACGGTCCTTAAGAACGTTCATAAACGAGGCGGTAGTGACCCTGTCAGCTTCATCATTTTTGAAGCAGACTGCGATGAAAGAGCCCTTAGTAGTGAGAAAGCTGGACAGCTTCACCTGCAGAGTGGTCGTCAGGAGTGTTGCCAAAGTCTTTTTCGTCGTGTCTGAGATGGTCCTATGAAGTAGGCGAATGCGCATACGGTACACCATGCTGACAACCTAAGAGAGAGCAGAATGAGTGATGCTTGAATTGACGAGTCGCCGCTGGTGCGTAGTCTACTACTAGTAGTACTGATATAAGTAGTTGTACTCCAAGTGGGATATTTGCTCAAACTCTTGAGGGTCTGCCTCGTTTACTTCCTACCACCACTACTATTTGCACCATTGTTTAAACACTAAAACACTACAATATACGTATAGGCTCATACCTGGTATAGGAGGAAACGTATACTTCAGAAAGAAGAATGATTGACGATTTTCATCGCACCATCAAGTGACAACGACCACTGGTACTTGCAAGCAGCGCTAGACCAGGGCTGGATAGTGACCCTTTTTTGTTTTCTTCAAGTAGGTGAATTTGCGAAAGAAAAATGTCTTTAATGAGATCGAAAAAATGAGAGCCTATTGGGACTCGATCCGAGGAAAGGAGAGCATGAATTCCTCATCATCAGGGAGCATCTCGTGAAGGGGGATGACTGTTCAGGTACAATTCTGGTTTAATTTGTTTTTGTTTTTCGAGGCTCTTAGCATCACCACTTTGTTATTAGGTTTGCTAATGATTCACAGTTAACGAGAACATTAGAAATTACAACCTGCTAAAGTTTCGGTACATCTTAAGACCATTACTAAATCTCGACTTGGTCGCAACGTCTTCTAGGCCATCTATCAATAATTGGTTAGCTATAAATTGATCCAGTCATGGTATTGCAAACTTTTATTCTTTAAAGTTTGATCTAGATGAACGAATTATAATTTTGTGGCAGTAGTGCTTACTAAGAGTTGTATGTGACTTCTTGGAAGACTCAGGAACGTGTCAGTGGTGGGTACAACATTAATGTTCTTAACTACTTTTCTTGGAGGCTCAGGAACAACGTGTCGGTGCTAGGTATAACATTAATGTTCTTTACTTTTCTTGGAGACCCAGGAATAACGTGTCATTGCTGGGTGCATTATTATTATTATAATCAAGGGGGAAGCGCTAAACCCGGAGGATTATACAGCGCCTGGGGGGGGGGGGATGTGGAAGGCATTCAGGCTTAATTCGGGGAACTGGAGCACAGATCCAATTCCCTAAATCAAGAGCCCCTCACCAACATCAAGGAACCTTCCTTGAGGGGATTGCTGGGTGCAACACTAATGGTCTTAACTCCACCAAGCTGGCGCCAAGGTCGTACGCATAACTTAGATGAAGTGACGCGTGCAGAGAAGTAAGCTAACCCCTCTAAGTTTTTTTATGCGACAATCAATGCTGGTGAACACGAGCACTAGAATGATGGATGTGTGAATGGCCGCCACTTAAGCGTGGAGTTCGATCAAAGACGGTCTCCAGTGCTCCTTCACTTGCTTGCGCTCGCTGAGTGAAAATCATAGACGATGCAAATTGTTATCCAGCCTAATTTTGGAACTGGAATCTCCGATGCTCTTGTGTTGCTTTGTATGAAAGTCTAATGCTACGCAGTATTGAATTTTTTTTTCACTTACTAAAGCTACAGTTGAATTTGAACGAAGCAATTCACAGATGAATAGACTAAACATTATGGGATATTCCATTGGATTGCGCAGGCAGAGAGGAATGACATTCCTCCACAGTTTATAAAATATAGGTGTGGAGCGAAGGGAAGTCCGACCCCCCTGAAAAGACGACCAGAAATTTCCTTTTATCATGTCCTTTTACAGACAGCCGTGAGTTATAACGAAGTGGCACTAGCAACTCCGTGAGTCCATT